CAAGTTTCCTGTGGCAGCACAATGAAAATCTACTTTCTACACTAAAATCCGGAGACCTGGTGTGACACTATAGGAAAAGCACTGGAGTGCTAACTGCAAGGTGGGCGGTTCAAACCCATCAGCTGTTTCATGAAAACCCTATACAGGGTTGCTATGGGTTGGAACCGACTGGATGGCACTTAACACCACCATCAAAATGAAATACAACCAGTCAACCACAAAGTTTTTTTGGGGAAAAAAAAAAAAAAACTTGGAAAGCTCTAAGACCTTAGCAGTCTCCTCTGTTGTTAAGTGTCGTCGAGTCGTTTCCTACCCAGAGCCACCCTGTGCAGGGTTTCCGAGGCTATAAATCTTTACAGGAGCAGAATACCTCATCTTTCTCCTGCAGAGCAGCTGGTAGTTTCAAACTTCTGGCCTTAAGGTTCACAGCCCAATTTGTAACTACTACGCTAGCAGAGTTCCTCTAGGTGCCAACTAAAAGCTAAAAAGAAAAGTAGCACTTATTTTGTTTGAAGCTTTGAGTAGTAATCAATCCGCATAATTTGAGGTTGGTGCTAGTTAGATTATTTTACAGAGGGCAGCTACAGAGCTCTTTAGGACTTCTCCCAAGATCACACATGAAACCCAAGGTCTTCTCACTGTGCTGAATTCTCTCAGGTCAGCACTTTCTGTCCTGCTGGGAACACCCTTTCAACCTTGTTGCCTTGCTTCAAAAGTCAGTGTAAGCATTTTCTTCTCTATAGTTTTCTAATACCCCCTGCTGGTGCTCCTTCTTCCAAGCCAGTAATTCTCAAGGTTGGCTGCCTTTTTTAATTACCTGGTGCTCTCAAGCTTTGGGCTGCTAACCTCAAGGTTCAATCCCAGCAGCCACTCCATGAAAAAAAAAAAAAAACTAAAGCTGTCTACTCCTTTAAAGATTTACAGTCTTGGAAACTCTATATAGATCATTATGAGCAGTGGATGGATTTCTCAACATTAGATACCTAGACCCACCACCCCTAGGGATCCTGATGGAACAGGTCAGGACTTTACAAACTTCCCCAGGGGGATCTAACATGCAGCCAAGGTTGCAACTCACTGCTCTAGATTTCGCCCACTTTTACAGAACTGCACAGCACTTACCCCAGTGTACCGTACCTGAATGCTGATGTTAGTGCCAGTAACCATTGGGAACCACCTGGAAAGCTTTTTCAAAAGGAGAGGTTCCTGGACACCCACTAAATACTAAATCAGAAACTTGAGCGGGACCCTGAAACCACTTATCTTCACAAAACATTCCAATGTGCAGTCAAATTTAAGTGGAACAATGGTTAAAGGTCCTGGAACTATGGGTTAATGCACCAGACTGCAAAGCTGTTTGAACTGCAAAGTTGGTGGTTCAAGCTCACCAGCTGCTCCTCAGAAACCCTATACAGGGTCGCTACGGGTCAGAACTGACTCAATGGCACTTAGCAACAACAACGGTTAAAGGTCGGTGGTTCAAACCTACCTGCCACTCCACAGTCTGCTTCCGTACAGCTGACAGCTGCGGAAAGCCTATGGGGCAGTTTGACTCTGTCCTACAGGGTCACTTTCAGTCAGAACTGACTCCACAGTGGTGGGTTTGGGTTTGATTTGGATCTCCTAGATGTGGATTGGCCCTTTTCATATGAAAACACCAGCGTCTAGCACACTGCCCAGCCCACAGGTGGACCATGATAAGCATCTGCGTAGCGAAGAAAATGTAGTGATGAGAACCTGAGGACTCGATGTATGTATTCAATATTGAAGCTTCTGGCCGCAGCACAGTTAAAATGGGCTTCCTACAATAGAAACCTAATACTGGGCAGGGTTTCAAATGTTATTCACTTGTGCCCCCTACTGACCTGAAGATGAATAGCTAAATCAAAACAATGATTAAACACTCTGATTAAATATGCACATAACTAGCCACAGGGTACTTTTGCCACCAAAAACTATACAGTTAACTTCTTTGCAGTCCAATCCTAGTTGACCAAAGCTGTTAAGTCCCAAACCTAGACCATCACCTTTGGCTCAGTCCCCATACCCAATCTGCAATCATTCTGAGCAGCAGACATGTACCAGTTCTCAATAACAACAAAAAAAGCCTCTTACCTACCTTTGTGTTCCTTGGTCAGCTGCCTTTTTCAAATATCACCACACTCATAAAACTACCACCTCAGAAAAAGCACAAAAAGAAACCATCCATCTACCAATTTACCACAATTCTTGTGCTTTTTTATTAGTGCATTAACTTAAAAGATCTAGCAAGATTCTTATAACTACTACAATTTTGAAGTAATGCTAAGAATAAATGATACACTGAGATATGCAACAACTGTGATGTGTATTGGCACTGTGACTTCTATTGGTGACAGGTACTACTAGTACTAGTGTGGTTTGTTGCTGTAGTAGCTTATTAAACTAATGGCCCCCAATGAACCACAGCTCCTAGTAGCCATGCCCTTGTGTATCCCCTCACACTGAGTCTGGTTCTGGCCACATGACTTCCTGTGACATCAGCAAATGTGATGCAAGCAGAGACTTTGTAAGTGCACATTGGGACCTATCCTCTTGAAACCCAGCAACCATGTGAGGAAGCTCAAACTAAGTACATGGAGAGGCATCCAACTCCCCTACATGTGTGAGACCACCTTTCAGTCCAGATACCACTGAATTCAGCCACAGGGGAACACCCGAAGAACTGCTCAGTCAGCCCAAAGATGACGCAAAATAACAAATCATTGTTTTAAGGTACTGATTTGCAGTTGTTTGTTATACAGCAACAGGTAACTGAAATGGCTACTTCATTTATAAAGGAAGGAAATGCTACATTTCAGTTGGAGATTAGTTATAGACTACCTCATCTGACATCTCACTTGCATGACAACAGTGAAATATCTCTTTTGCACATTAAGAACATACATGTGGCAGTAACAAATCTGAGGTACTATGCTAAATAACGCTGGCTGGGATGGTTACGATTATAGGTCAACTTGGCTGCACCAGAATTCTCAGTGGTTCGGCAATTATATAACCAACGATGTAGTCATCCTTATTTTTTGTATAATGGCCTGGTGTAGGTATACTTAGATAACACTCTTTAAGTGTTTTGGTGGTTGGTGGTGGTGGTTATGTGCTGTGGAGTTGGTTCTGACTCAGCGACCCTGCTCAAGGTTTCCGAGGCTGTAAAGCTTTACGGGAGCAGAAAGCCTCATGTTTCTCCCATGGAACAGCTGGTGGTTTTGAACTGCTGACCTTGCAGTTCGCAGCCCAATTCATAACCACTACACTACCAGAGCTCCTTAAGTGCTTTAGACATATTAACTTACTGTGTTGTTATTGTTGTTATGGTTAAGTGGCACTGGGTTGGTTCGAACTCAGAGCGACTGTGGTGCTGGCGCTCGTAGGATCAGCACTAGATGGATTGTGAACCACAAGGCTGATAGTTCAAACCCACCAGCTGCTCCTCAGAAACCCTACATTGGGTCGCTATGAGTCGGAACAGACTTGATGACACTAACAACAGGGTTTCCGAGGAGCAACTGGTGAGTGTGAATCGCCAACCTTGCAGTTCAAACCCACCCAGTGATTTATCCTACAGCACCAGGCCAGTAAGTAACTAACTTGGTGGTGGTGGTATGCCATCAAGTTGTTTCTGACTCATAATGACCCTGTATAGGGTGGCTGAGGCTGTAATTTTTACAGCAGAAAGCCTCATCTTTTTCCAGCGGAGCCCTGGTAGATAGACAGACCTTGTGGTTAGCAGCCCAGCTCAGAACCCACTACACTACCAAGGCTCCTTATTAAATTACTCCATTTGTCAAAACCCCATCTAGTAGATGTTATACAATTTCACTCATAAACAGGCACAGAGTTTAAATGACTTGTCCAAAGTCACAGTTAGAAAGTGGCAATATCAGGATTAGACGGCAGAACCCAGGTTCTCATTTTATAGCCTTTATTTCTGCACCCAAATCACATTGCAAGAACTCAATAAAACTTTAATTTTAAAGAGCTGCACAATTTTGAAATTTCAATAAGCACTGGACTGCAATGCTGGTTTGAACCTCAGGGTCAGCAGTTCAACCTTACCAGCCACTCTTCAGAAACCCTGTGCAAAGTCACTATGAGCCGGAACCAACTGGACAGCACTTAATGCTTGACCTCAAGGTCGATTTGAACAGTAAAGTTGACGGTTCAAACTCACCAGCCATTCCTTGGAAACCCTATACAGGCTGTATAGGTCCGCTGTAAGAATCGGAACCGATTCTTCAGCACTTTAGCAACTTGATGACTCAATTTTGTATAGTTTTGGTAGTTTTTGATGTTATCCATGAGATAAAAAATAACTTTAAAAAGTAAAATAGCTTTACGTCAAAATGCAGGTTTTAAAAGAAAAGTTTCACTAAAAAGTCAATTTTTTCAAACGACACAACTTCATAAAATGTAAAGGGAGTCAACGCGTCTATATAAATTCATTGGGGAAGTGAAGCCAAGCTCTAGCTTTCATCAGCACCCAACTATTCCCAAGTCAGCCTCCCCAACACCCTGCAGTACCTTCTCCGACGGTGACCCTTTCCCCACCCCTACACCTGGTTCTGAAACCTGACCCGTCCAGGCAATCAAAGCCGATTACCGCAATGCGTCGAACCGGCCTCGCTCCCAGGTGGGCACTACCCTATCCACGCTCCCAGGTGGGCACCAGCCACAGAAAGGGAGTGGGTACTTCAACTTTTCAAAGTGTGTTAATCACGAAAGCACGACCCATAGTGACGTCCCTTCCCAACCCAGGGATTCTGGAACCTCGACCAAACCTAGGACGCCCCACAAACGCCCGGGTGTTGGCGGCGGCTAGCTTCCGCCCCACAGTCGCGAGCTCCAGGCGGACCCGTGAACGAACCGCGGGTTGAGACACAGCCAACCTAGAGGTGGGAAAAGCCTCCAGGAAAGCAGGGTCTGATCCCCCGGGAGGCCCACGAGTGTGTGAGGAGGGTTCCATGCGGCCAGGAGGGGGCGGTGACAGCTGTGACCCAGCTCCGCGCTCTCACCTTGAACATGTTGCTGGCAGCCGCGGCTCCGGCGAGGTCACCCCGGCTTCGGCCCCGCCCACTACTGACAGGCGGCTACGGCGGCCCGATAGGGCCTTGCTTCAACTGACCGCGAAAGGACTGCGGTACGGGTGACGGCTGTACCGCCAACTGCATCCGACAAAGGTTTAGCTAAGCACTCTGGACTGGAAGCAACGTCGGTAAGCTCACGCAAGTCACGGCTTGGTAGCGAGTGGACTTAAGCCCCGCCCACCTGGAGGTCCCGCCCCTGCGCCGGCTGTTGCTAAGCGACGGTAAAGCACTGCACAATGTGGGAAGAACGCGGGGGCGCGCGGAGGAAGGTGTCGGGCTTCGGCTTTCCTGGCCGCCGCCATTGGGAACTCCGAGGTGTGGGCCATGAATCCTGTGCTCAAAAGCCGCCGGGCGGGGGCGCTCGGAGGGTCTTTGGCAGCTTCGAAAGCTACTAAGCCGAAAGCCGCCAACCTCAAAGGTCTGGATTTACCTCACAAAGGTTTTTAGTTTTTTACCTCGGGCTTGTAATTTCTGAGGCTTTACATTTAAACGAATTTACCGCACTCCCTTTTGTCATGCCGTGAGTCGGAATCGACTCGATGACAGTGGGTTTGGTTTGGGTTTTCAGTCGTGTAAAGCACTATTTTTTTTTAAGTGTAAGCCCCTCACTGGATATCATGTTTATCCCTAAACAGTGGCAGAAATAAATAATAATGATAATTATTATAACGAGAAAAGTAAACAGTTATACAGCACACACAAGGTGCCCAACTTTAACTTAAGCCTCTGACACCTATTTATTTCATCTTTCCAACATGGTGCTGGTTGTGTACCCATAGTGTCGGTTCCTACTCATAGTGACCCTGCATACGGTTTCTGAGGCTGTAAATATGGGAGCAGAAAGCCTCATCTTTCTACCAAGGAATGGCTGATAGTTTCGAACTGCTGACCTTGAGGTTAGCAGCCCGACTCGTAACCACTAGGCTACCAGGAGCTCTGGTGTGGTGCTTTGGGTTAATGCGCTCGCTGGACTGCAAACTCAGTTTGAACCGCAAGGTCAGTGGTTCAGGCTCACCAGCCGGTCCTTGGAAACCCTATACAGGGTCTCTATGGGTCAGAACCAACTCAACAGCACTTAACAATAACGCTCCTTAACAACCCCAGTGTAGTTGTTAAGTACCGACTCCACAGTTCCGATTCATAGAGACCCTGCACAAGGTTTCCTAGGCTGTAAATCTTTGCAGGAGCAGAAAGAACGGCTGGTAATTTCGAACTCCCGACCTTGAGGTTAGCAGCTCGATTCGTAACCACTACGCTACCAGAGCTCCTCAGTAGTCACAATTATTACTCCCTAAATCCTGCGCTCTAACCTCAACAGTCATCATAATTGAGATGTAGCTTATATTCCATTCTGTATTTCACATCCGAACCCAATAAAAACTGGATTTGGAGGGTGTGCAGTGACATGTTCCTGTCCTGCAGCCAAATACCACTAGGAATACACACCTGTAGTTCAATTAATTGGGTTTGTTTTCTCATTGATATAAGGGAGAATGCACACTTTGGGGAGCAGTGAGACATCTTAGTAAGAATATTAGATTTATTCTAAGATCTGGGGTGATTTGGGGTGAGTTCAAAGAAGTGGACTTTGATCTGGATTGGGTGCTATCAGAAAGTGGGGGTGGTTCCACCAAGGTCAGCTTTCAGATATTGTTTTTCTCTTTTTTGGGAGAATTGTATGTTCTAAGCCATGCTCATTACTAAGGAGAAATAGTAAATAGACTGCTGAAGGCTCTGCTTTGGTAATGTAATCTAATAGAGTGGGAAGTATAATTTAGTGCAGGGGTTTCTTAATACCGGGGCTATAATGTGAACTTGCGGAGTCCTGGTGTGGTGCTGTGGGCTAATGCGTCAGACTGTAAAGTCGTTTAAATTGCAAGGTCAGTGGTTCAAACTCACCAGCTGCACCTTGGAAACCCTGTACTGGGTGGCTATGTATTGGAATCAACTCAACAGCACTTCACAACAACAACAATGTGACCTTGGATGGGGAAAGCTATTAAAAGTTTATTTTCACTAACTTCCACCTGACCTTCAGCATTTCTTTCAGTTATGATATAGGCAACAAAGCACAGTAGTAGGAGCAGTTCTTGTCACTTTTGTCATCAATAGAAAGCGAAGATATTTTCATACCACATTATACTCAGAGCAGATATCTTGAAATATAATTACTACTTTAAAAGTACAGTAATTATTAGATCTCCCATTTTAATGCATAAACAGAGAAAGCACATATTATTGTATCATAATTTTGTTTTAAAAACTATGTGTGACAATTTCAATATAATTGGAGTCCTTTATAATCCTATGTACTTTATTCTATGCATTTTAAAAACATAATTCTTAAAAGGCGTCTATCCCTAGGGATTCATGGTTCCAAAAGAAAATATATAATGAGTCCCTGGTTTAATAGAACAGATTAAGCAGTGACTAAGAATTTGGGACCTGCATCCAAATTGGATGAATGCTTCAAACACTAGAAATTTAGAAGTAGAATTAGATAATTTAGCATGTTGTTGTTGTTGTTGTAAGGTACCATCGAGTCGGAACCGACTCATAGCAACCCCATGCACAGCAGAATGAAACAATGTCCGATCCTGGACCAACCTCACTACCGCTGCCACACTTGACACCATCAATGATGCCACCTGGCTGATCCATCTCGTTGGGGGGTCTTCCTCTTTTTCTCTGACCCTCCATCTTA